ACGCCCGGTCACGGGCACATCTGCACAAGTAGAAGCTGAGTTCAGTTCACTCCGGACTCTCTTCCCTCCTGCAGTACGTAGTTACTACTGATTAAAGCCTGTCCGGCTTTGTTTATCTTTGCCACCATGGCCGAGAGAGGCCTCCGCTGAAGAGAAAGAGGGCGGCGGGCGGTGGACCGAGAAGGGCTACAGGACAAAATGTAGGTGGAGGCTTGGCCACGGGTCAAGCAGGAAAAATACATGCTCCAGTGCCCCGGTGGGTGACGCTGGGCGCAGACCCGCTTGGGGCAATGGGAAGCCGGCGACGCCAACATCGTCAGTCGCACCTAGGAAGGCGAGCAGAGGCCGGTGCGGAGATCCCTTCAGCGGAGGACCAACGAACCCGCCCCGCCGGCAGGGGCGCGGGCTGCGCGGCCCCGGGGCACCGGGCCTCCTCGGCCAGCCACTTCCAGGTCAAGGCCCTCAAGCCAGCCCAGACCACGGACAGGCCGAGCGCGTCGCCTCACCGGCTCCCGCCCGCCCGGGTCCGCAGCACCAGCGCCCGGATTCCTTCTCCCGCGGGAGCGCCGGGGCTCCACCAACCAGCACCGAGCCGGAAGCGCGGCGGAGCCCACTGTCCCCTCTAGGAAGCCGGAGGGTTCCCTCTCGGTGGTGCGTTGGTCCGGAACGCTCACGTGCCCGGGCGGCATAGCCCGGCCTTCTCGCTGCAGTTAGAGTTGGAGATGCCCACCGGCGGTAGCGATACTCTTGTTGCAACCCTGCCTGCCCAGACCCCAGCGGCTGGCTACAGATGGGGCCGCAGCAGGACCAGGAACGACGCAAATGTTTGGGGGTCCTGCCTGTACTCCTGGCTGTCCCACGTGCAACTATGGTCGAAAAGCCGGGACTTCTTGGCCTCCAGGGCGCGGCATCATATAGGAAAATAGCTGTTTGCATCTCTTCTTATGCCCTCACTATTCCTGGAACCCAGTCTAGGGGCTGGACTGGTAAAGATTAGTTTAACAGTCTGCAGCCTGTGCACAATCACTGATCCCTCTAACCTCTGAGGTCTTGTTAACAGGGCAAGATTTCACATACTGAGTGCTAATCTTTCCCTAGGAGAAGGCTAAATACTACAGAATTAGCCCGAATTCACACTGAAATCACTGAAAACTGTCAGCGGAGCACGTTACAATTTAGACAGACCTGTAGGAGGAGGCAGAGGTCTGCCCCACAGCTTGCCTAATCTCTGTTATGGTGAAGGGTACATGGAGTATATAGAATGAGATCTCTCTGAAGCTGCTACTTAGAAATCTCAACTTGGGGGATGAGGGCTGTGGGCAGGGGCAGTTAAGGGAGATGCAGGCAATACCCTGCAGGAGGCCTATTCCTTCCAGAGGCATGGCAGTAGTAGCAAGATTAAAGGAGAAATCATGCAGCCACGTGGTTTTTCTTATCACCAACCCAGCTTCCATGGTGGAGTGGCTGTGAAAGGAGAAGGGAAACCAGGGAGAACTATAACCAGAAATGAACCAGATGAAGAGCTATAATCAGGAAGCCAGCCTTGCTGCTGCTGAGTTGGCTATACACATATACCTCAAAGAGAAAGGCCCAAGAGCCATATTCACCCTCACTCAACCCATGGCCATAGGTGCCTGTTTAACCCAAACACAGAATCCAGAGGAAATCAGAGGGGACTATATCCCCACTTCCCATAACCCCATCAGCTCTTCCGCCCCAGATTGGCCAGTCACAAGCCATCCACAAAGGAAGATTTGAATGCACAGACTGAGAGAGCTCACTGTGAGCCAAGATACACTAATGGAGGGTGATCAACACCAGGGTAAACCACTGTCAAAGATAAATTTTTAAAAGCTTCCAGGCAGTCGGGACAAAAATATCCTGAAGGTTGTCCTCAGTTATCTTAGTTGCCAGGAGACATGGAGCAACAGAAATGAGGGAAAGGGTTGTGAACTAAGAAGACAGCAACAGACAACCTTTTGGGTGTCTGCTGAGCCCAGCCACAGGGTGGGGGCCCCAGCAGCCTTGTTTACACTTGACAACCCAGAGCCCCCTGCCCCCCTCTCCCCAAGGCAAGGGAGAGTAGAACAGAAGTGAACACCTGAAGTGGGCAAATCAGATTCTCTCTCCTGGAATTTGGAATTAAGTCTGGGAGATTCTCAGTTTGGGCTGGTTCTCTGGAATGGAGTTGTAAACGTGGGACCTATGGCAACTTCTGCCATGTGCTTAGGGATAGAGAAAGCAGGAATGCAAAGAGGAGAAGGGATCAGAAGTGAGGAGAGAGCTGAGACTGAGCCTGAGTGTTCTGCCTGTTCTTCCTGACTGGGTTTTCCAGGCTCCAGAACTCCTGGCTGCATTCTTGCCCTTGGGTGTCAGGATACACACAGGAATCCTTATGATAAATTAAATGTATTTGAGTTAATTCAAGTAGGTTTCTGCTATTTTTATTTTTTGTGAGGAAGATCACCCCTGAGCTAACATCTGATGCCAATCCTCCTTTTTTTTTTTGGGCTAAGGAAGATTGGCCCTGGGCTAACATCCGTGCCCATCTTCCTCTACTTTATATGGGACGCTGCCACAGCATGGCTTGACAAGTGGTGTGTTGTTGCGCGCCCGGGATCCGAACCTGAGAACCCCGGGCCGCTGAAGTGGAGCGTGTGCACATAACCGCTCTGCCACCTGGCCGCCCCGGTGTCTGGTATTTTTCAACAGAGACCTAGATCATATACTTAGCCAAGTCACTGGTAAAGACAGAAGTCTCAAAACTAAACCTTTCAGGTATTATGACACCCATATACCTTTCCTGAAGGAAGTGGGCAGTCCTCATGCTAAATTAACAAGTGTGGGGGGAGTCAGTAAGTTTATAGTCATTTCACTTTGAGTGAAAACAGAAACTCCTGAAGGAACGCTAAGTTGGAATTTAAGTGATGTATGAGTTTATTTTTACACATCTGTCCTTTCCATGAGCTACACATGGCCCTTGTCAAAAACACCTGAGTGTCTACTAAGTGCCAGACAACCTGGCAGCGCTGGTCCCTGCATTGAACAGCGGCACAGTCTTCATCGTTCAGCACCTAGGACGTGCCGTGGAGGCTGTGTAATAACATTTGTGTAACAATGGGGAAAAACCCTAAATGCCTATTGAATTAATGAATAAAGGAAGGAACAAATGAGAACATAAAAGTTACCAAAGTCAGAAACTCATAAATCTCATGGCCAGGAGGACTCAAAAGCCTTTATCAGCCCAGAGCAGATCCATTTATTTTTCCCCTACATTCTTTACTTTTTCTTGTCGTATAATCTGCTACCCTCCAAACTCTATTTAGAAGTTCCTCTTTTTTGAAGTCCTGCTAGTTTAGGAGTCTCTCACCCCCATCCTTCCTTGCTATAATCCTCCCAGAAGCCCTGAGGCCCTTTCTGTTTAATGGTGTTTGGGGGAAATAAATAGGGCAAAATTTTTATATATGTGTCTGTTTCAGAAATATGACAAAGAAACCAGACTCATTGTCATTTTCCTCCATTTTGACTTTTTCTTAGCAGTGATTCTGGGTGAGGGATCTTTGCATATTCTGGAAGCTCTGACTACAGCTGGGGAAATAAGTTTGGTTTTTGCCTTTTCTTATCCTGAATTGTATGTACTGTACAACCTTATCAACGAATAAAAATAAAGAACAATCGCCAACATCCCACCAACCATTTAAATTTCTCCCTGGTGCTGAGGGAACTTTTTGGCGTGATGGAAATTTTCTATATCTTGGTTATACAACTGTATTCATTTGTCAAAATTCACCAAACTATATACTTTTTTTTAAAGGGTGGATTTTACTGTCTACAAAGTATATCTCAGTAAACCTGACCAAAACCAAAACCAAATGTCTCTCCATGCCCTCCCTCAGACATAATTTTATGGTGTTACAATAACAGTGTACATATCATATCCTTAGTACTGTATTCCTGCTTAATTATTTAAAGTACCTTTCCATGTTGCTACACTGTCCTGAAGCAGTGATTCTGAGATGGGGCAGAGCCTCTAACCACTGGACAGAAAGTATGGTCAAACCAGTGAGATTGTAACATCTAGCAAGACCAGCATTCTTAAAACACTCCTTGGTGTTACCAAAGTAGTTCATTATAAAATTAATTTAAAAGTGCCACCACTCACAAATTCAGATTTCATCATAGGGGATGTGGAACAGGTATGAGAACATATCTGAGTGTGTGCATGGTTACTGATCACGAACAGACTCCCTTCCGAGGCAGGAGCTACATTAAGTCATGGTTGGGTTTCTCTTCTCCTTCCCTCCACTGCTTATCCACGTATTGCCAACAAGTCCACTCCGTGTATAATTTAGAGATTACTACACCCAGGCACGTGTCCTAAATTGCACAAGCCCAGGTCAATCTTCATACCTACATATTTGAGTGAGCACTGAAATTAAACAAAGATATGGATAGGAATGGAAAAGGAATCCAAACAGGAAAACCACATCCCCTTCCAATCAAGTTTAAAGACATGATTTTACATTATTGCTATCAATGCCAACTCATCACTTTATATTCTTTTCAGTGATCATTTTCTTGCTCTACTGCTTAGTTACACAGGATCCTCATAACGGTCATTATCAAGGTAATAAAAAACCCAAGGCTCATATCCCCACAGTGAGCCCTGCTACTGGCCCACCAAATGGTCCTCCTTAAATCCTGAAAGCAATCACTGGGTACTTTCTCTGATTACCTCCCCCTATGGACTGCATTTCCCCTATTTCTTGAATTACAATGGCCCATCCCATTGTAATGCCACACCTTTAAAACCCAAAATGTTCTGCAAACTCTTCCAACTCTAGTAGAGAAGGCAGGTGCAAACTGATGGTAGAGGCCAAGACCAGGCACTATAAAGGGTAGATACAACCACTTCCTACCATGGGGAGAGAAGAAGGTAATCAAACATGGTCCTTAAGTGTGAGAACTTAAAATGGAGTTGGGAAAACAATAACGACATACACAAGACCAGAAGTGTATAGACAAAGACATGATCAGGAGCGAGTGGAAACTGATGACTCCAGGTGCACTGGGAGTTGAGAACTTGAGGGAGCTCACGGGGAGTGAGACAAAGTGTTCAGGCTATAAGGGGATGACTTCTCAGGAGAAGCAAGATCCTGAAAGAAATGCACTAATTGGACGGGTGAAGAACTGGCCATTTCAGATGAGGGGAGTAGCACGAAGAGAGGCACGGTGGGAGGAAGTAGCACTACATGTGGAGAAGACAAGGGAGACCCTGGCATGGCTGGGGCAGAGCACGCATGCTGAGGAGGCAGAGGGGATGGGACTGATGAGGGGCAGTGGGGCTTAACTGTGGATGGCCCTGTACTGTGGGCGGGTTTCTTCCTAGTATGCAACTTCTGATGCTGAATGAAACTGGCGCTCCATTTGAAGGCTTTCCCACACACCTTACATTCATAAGGTTTCTCCCCCGTGTGAACTCGCTGATGCTGAACCAGGGTGATTTTCTGATTGAACGCCTTCCCACACTCCTGGCATTCATAAGGTTTCTCCCCAGTGTGGATTCTCTGATGTACGATAAAGCGTGAGCTACAACTGAAAGTTTTCCAACATTCGTTACATTTATAGAGTCTTTCCCCAGTGTGGAACCTCTGGTGCTGAAGAAACACTGAACTCCGGCGAAAAGTCTTGCCGCACTCTTTACATTCATAAGGTTTCTCCCCAGTGTGGATTCTCTGATGCTGAATCAGGACTGAATTTGAACTGAAACTTTTCCCACATTCCTTACATTCATAGGGCTTCTCCCCAGTATGAATTCGCTCATGGATGATGCAGTCATAGCTACACCTGAAAGCCTTCCCACATTCCTTACACTTAAAGGGTTTCTCCCCAGTGTGGATTCGCTGATGCCGAATAAGTTTTGAGTTGTAGCTAAAGGTTTTCCCACAGTCTTTACATTCATAGGGCTTCTCTCCACCATGGAGTTTCTGATGCTGAAGGAGGTGGGAATTTTGACTGAAGGCTTGTCCACATTCCTGACATGAGTAGGGTTTCTCCCCAGTGTGGATTTTCTGGTGCCGTGAGAGTTTTGAGTTGTATCTGAAGGCTTTCCCACATTCTTTGCATTTGTAGGGCTTCTCATCAGTGTGAATTCTCTGATGCTGGCGAAAGTCTGAATGTTGGTTGAAATATCTGCCACACTTGGCACATTTATAAAACACCTGTCCTCTAGGGAGGCCCTGCTTTGTAATGAGATGTGCGCCGACACCACTGCTTCCTTCCAATTTCCTGGCTCTTTCCATGGTGGAGGATTTATGATCCTGGACTGTCAAGTCTGTGAAGCCTCCTTTTTTTGAGTTTGTTTTCCTCCCTGTGCCACACAGCTGCAGCTTCTCCAAGCTGTCCTTACTGTGAGGGTGCTGGGAAGCACCCATCAGTAGCCCTTCTGCCATCAGTCTGTGCAACTCTGCTTCTTCAGAAATGTTCAGCTTTGGAGTCTGCTCTGCATTCTCAGTCTTGCTTTTACCACCTAGCATGATAAAAGAAAACATAAGAGCCACTTATTTATGCTAGAGGGGGAAGGGATTAAGCAGTATTAGCTTGCCCCAGACATAGGTATATTTTGGAGAGAGACAGAGCCAGTGGATGGTGCCCCAAAGGGAAAGTAAAAATACTGGAGGTGAAGAAGGCAAGAAATGCCATTAGGACAACAAACTTTGTAGACAGCAGAAGCTGTTAATTGAGACAACAGATAAAGAAAAATGGGAAGGGGGTAGAGAAGTTGCCAGAAGGGGAAGCGATGAAGAAAAGCAGAGGGAGCTGACGGTGAGGAAAGAGATCTCTGAACTGGAGAAGAGAGAGCTAGGTAAGCAGCTCTAGTACCACTCAGTGTCCAGACAGCTGGGAGATGCTGTCTGCAACAGTGGACCCGTGGCCCAGTCAAGGCATGAAAGCTGCCCAAATACTTTACAATATTCTGTAATCTATAAAGAGATGTTCTCTATCACAAGCCTGACTAGGGAGAAAATGGTTTGTAACACTGCCGGTTGTGAGGGGTTCAGGAAAGGACCACTATTTCAAACCCATGTACTGTACTCCTGGAGAGAGACCTACCTCTGAAAGGAAAAAAGCCATGCCTGGTCAGACCCTTCCAGGACTGGACACGGAACTTGAGGGGAATGGGGACTCACACCCTCACTGGTGGCACTACAACATACAAACCTTTTTTGCCTTTTTAAGCACCAAAGATCTGACAAATGAAACTTCTAGCTTAGGGGCCGGCTCCATGGCTTAGCGGTTAAGTGCGCACGCTCTGCTGCTGGCAGCCCGGGTTCGGATCTGGGCGCACACTGACGCACCGCTTCTCCAGCCATGCTGAGGCCGCGTCCCACATACAGCAACTAGAAGGATGTGCAACTATGACGTACAACCATCTACTGGGGCTTTGGGGGGAAAAAAAAAGGAGGAGGACTGGCAATGGATGTTAGCTCAGAGCCAGTCTTCCTCAGCAAAAAAAGGAGGATTAGCATGGATGTTAGCTCAGGGCTGATCTTCCTCACAAAAAAAAAAAAAAAAAGAAACTTATAGCTTAGTGTTTCTTGAGCTTTTTTGACCATGACTCACATTTTAGATCCTGACCCACTACACACACGCTTACACACACACATATATACTCACAAACATACAAAACTAAAACAGAAACAAAAGTTTCACAAAACCACATCCTTAATAAGAGTGATACATTTATGACAAATTTTATACTATAGTCATGCATTGCTTAATGATGGGGATACGTTCTAAAAAATGCATTGTTGGGGCCGGCCCCGTGGTGTAGCGGTTAAGTGCGCACGCTCCGTTGCTGGTGGCCTGGGTTCGGATTCCGGGCACGCACCAATGCACTGCCTGTCAGGCCATGCTGTGGCAGCATCCCACATAAAGTGGAGGAAGATCGGCACAGATGTTAGCTCAGGGCCAGTCTTCCTCAGCAAAAAAAGGAGGATTGGCATGGATGTTAGCTCAGGGCTGATCTTCCTCACAAAAAAATTAAAAGTAAAACATAAAAAATGCATTGTTAGGCGATTTCATCATTGCGTGAACATAATAGAGTGTACTTACACAAACCTGGACGGTATAGCCTACTACACACCTAGGCTACTAATGGTACTAATCTTAGGTGACCACCACTGCATATGCGGTCCATCATTCACGAAAACATCATTATGCAGTGCATGACTGTATTTTGGTCCATTTTATTTAAGTCTAGTACAGTCTAGTTTAATTCTTAAATGCTGAGCACAACTCTGGAAGAGTTGCAACCTCTCTTTTAAACTCTGGAAGAGTTTAAAAAACACGGTTCAAGATTCTCAAGAACAGTGGTCCTCAAACTGTGGTCCCCAGTCCATCATCATCTGGGAACTTGTTAGAAATGCAAATTGTCAGGCCTCATCCCAGTCCTACTGAATTAGAATCTCTGGAGGTAGAGTCCAGAAATCCGTATTTTAACAAGCTCTGCAAGTGATTCTGATGCACAGCAGACTTTGAAACCCACTGATCTAGAAACTAAAAAAGGCAGTTGGAGGCTGTTGTTTTAATTGTTTAAGGCTGCACTGTCTGATAAGGCAGCTGCTAGCCACATGTGGCAACAGTCATGCACCACATAATGCTGTTTTGGTCAATGACGAACCACATATACAACAGCAGTCCTGTAAGATTAGTACCATATAGTGTAAGTGTATAGTAAACTATATGGTCTAGGTTTGTGTAAGTACACTCTATGATGTTCACACAATGACGAAATCACCTAACAACACATTTCTCAGAACATTTCGTTAAGTGGTGACGCATGACTGTGTTTAAATTCAAATTGGGGCCGGCACTGTGGTTAAGGTCATGCACTCTGCATCGGCGGTGAGGGGTTTGCGGGTTTGGATCCCAGGCATGGACCCACACACCATTCATCAAGCCATGCTGTGGTGGTATCCCACATAAAAAAAAAAAAATAGAGGAAGATTTGCATGGATGTTAGTTCAGAGACCATCTTCCTCGAGCAAAATGAGGCAGATTGGCCACAGATGTTAGCTCAGGGCTAATCTTCTTCACCAAAAAAATAAAATAAAATAAAAAATTAAAAAATTAAAACTAAAAAAAATTCAATTAAAATTTAAAATTCAGTTCCTCAGTTCCGCTAGCCACATTTCAAGTGCTCATGTGGCTAATGGCTGCCATACTGGACAGTGCAGATATATCACATTTCCATCACTGTAGAAAGTTCTGTTGGACACTGCTGGTGTAAAGCCTTCGGCAGGCTAAATAAACAATGTGCAGCTGTGGCAAAGAGAACCCCTGACAACTGCAGGCAGACTGATAGGAAAGGTTCTTCATCAAGGTGACCTCAAGTGCTGGAGTCAACCTAAGGGCACTGATTAAGACAGAGTGGGAGTGAATCAGAAAGGGGCATTTGGTTGACAGAGGCTCTGAATAGCATCAGGGAGACAGTATGAGAACAGGGCCAACGAGTGAGAAAGGCTATAGGCCAAATCTCTGGATGGTTCTTTACAGTTACTTCAATTCAATATCTTTCAAAAAGGAAACCACTCATTCCCAATAAATAAACAAGCTTTCTTTCAAAAGCTAGTTTATAATTTATTGTTTAGGAATTCACAAAAATTCCATTCTCATATACAGTTTCATACACACACACAGATACATAAAATGTTCTTATAGAAACAAGTTCTTACTATCTTGTGTTTATATTCCTAAATTAACCAACAGAAACCTATTTTCCCCACAAAGTGTTTGAAATACTTTAACTTTACAAAGACACATGACAGAAAATGAATGTTCGGACTGGTCTTTTCCAGTTTGGGGCTGAAGCTCTAGCGAGAGACATTTCTCTGAATAAGAGTGACCATTTTCATTCCCATAATAGCCATATGACAGAAGAAAACCTTTTTCATGTTAAATCACTAAAAGACAGGCAGAGGCAAAGCTGGAGAGGAAGGTGGTAAGTTCTGCTGCTTACCTGTGCAGACAGCTCTCAGGGCCTCTCCCCTGACAGGGGTCCAGGGATCCAGGCCCCGTGGTGCTTCCCCTCGCTCCAGCTGGAATATCACATCTGGTTTAGGGAATGGAGATACTGCTGAAGGAGAAAGAAAAGGAACAGGAAGTTGAGGACCCCTCCTGACCCCTCTCAGTCCACCCTCTGCTTTGCCAGGTGAAAAAAGAAGTGGACGTTTCAGGAAACTAAGGGAGGTCACTGCAGAGAGAATCTGGGGATCCGAAGAAGGCTAAAATTGTTTTTCTCAGGAGGAAGCTTATTCCAACTCTGAGAGGACAGAAAGCTCCCACCATCGTTGGAGGTGTGTACATGGGGGTCCTAGGAGACACTCACACAGAGGAGATGGGGCCAACATCTCCTCCAGAGAACTGGAAGAGTGGCGGAATGAAGTTGGGCCACCGGAAACCTTCCCAGCTCTCTGTGCCCAGAGCAAAGCCCCCTCAGGAGAGTCTCTACCAGGAAACAGGGAAGAGAGAAGTCTTGTTTAAAATCAAAGTGAACCCAGATCTTTCTCCATCAGCTACTTCTGCAACTGGGCATTAGGGCGCTCAGCTCATGGAGCATCAATCCTGGTGGTACTAGAGATTCCAGATCCACTAAGGAGGAAGTCAGGAGCCCCCAAGGGCAGAAACTGAGTGTCCGAGAGGAAGGAGGACTTACCCAAGGAAGTTACATTTGCATAATTCTCCAGCATCACCTCCCTGTACAGGGCCCTCTGCACAGGGTCCAAGCTCGCCCATTGGTTCTGGGTGAAGTATACAGCCACATCCTCAAAGGTCACTGACTCCTGAAACAACAGGGTGCTGCTCAAGCCCTGCGTGAGGGCAGAGGGAGGCGTCTGAACTCCAGGAAAAGGATGAATCTAGTGGATTCCATGGCTCTGAGCCCCATGGAAGGTTGACTGGCAAGGAGAGCCACCAGCACTGCAGCATTCCCATTTTCAGTGTGCACACCTCTGGGGGCCAATGCTGTCATCCCAGCACACAGTGCAGTACCTACTGTTGTCTGCCTGTGATCACATCACCCTGCATCTGCTTCCATGAGCTGGGTCTATCTTTCTGGCAAGTTCTCTAGACTGACCACAGCAGGTATCTGTCTTTCACCTGCCTCCATCCATCCTGAAGTCCCCATCAGCACCCTCCACTCAGCTTCTCTCTGGTCATCCCCCTCCACATCTTTTACTATAGACAGAGGGGTGATTCCATGCGCATAGAGCTCCTTTCACTCTGGATAGGTCTCCCTCTTTCTGACATCTTGCCTTGTCAGAAAGCTGGTTGTCCCTTAAAGGCAATGTGCAGTGTCACCTCCTCCTTTCCTAACACACCTGACTCCAGGGATAAGATGGCAGTCTCCATCCTTGAGCATGGACCTGACCCCTGATCACCTAAGCTCTGTCTGACCTGCTGACACTGGGGTCTCTTTCTGCCTCCCGCTGGGGTCACTTCCACCTTCTCAAGGGAGAAGGAAACCATCATAGGTTGTTTAGGCCTTTGTGCCTTGTCCTATGTCAGTTACTTTTACACCAATTCACTCAATCATTAGAACACATCTGTGAAATACGAATTATTATTCCCATTTTTAGATGATGGGAATCAGTGATATTAAGCACTTTCAAACAGATAAAACAGGAGTCTTCTTTCTCTGAATATGTATGACAAGGTTTATAAGGAAGCAAAAATTTCAAAATGAACTGACCACTTATATAAATTAGTCCCATTATAACATTTCTCCCTGATTCACACTGTACCCTATCCCAGTCTGTCATGTCAACAACCTTCTCTTTGTGTTTTGTCTCTTATGGATGGAAGAAACAATGACAGAAGTACTAGAGGACTGCAGCCATCATTTAAAGATTGATCATGACAAGAATCATCAGTGGATGGTAAATCTAGGAGGAAATTTTGATGAGGAGCAGGATATTTGCATGATCTGAAATGATTCCCCACAGATTTCTTATTAGTTGCAAGGGGAAAATAGTAACTATACAGTGAAGAACAGATAACACCTTGACCAAGAAGTTCAAATGTGGCTAGTGTGACTGAGGAACTGAATTTCTAATTTTAATTAATTTTAATTTAAATAGGCACATGTAGCCAGTGGCTACCTTATTGAACAGACATTCAATTCTTATTGAAAAGATACTTCACTGACCCCAAATGTTAATATTCTGTCTCTACTTCCTTCAGAGTCTACAGCTGGGAACATGGACCTGACTGACTTTCTTTCCTCACATTCTGGCTTCTAACCCTCCACACCTCTGAGACATCTCTCTAATGATCAATGCATTCTTTGTTCCTTTTTTTCTGCAACATTCAGCTTCCCAACATCCTATTCCAACTCTGATCACTCTGCTGCTATCCTTTCCTAGCACTTCCTCCTCCATTATTAAGCAGGGCTGTTGATTTCCCTATATGGGAAGTAGGTAACAGAGACAGCACAGCATAATGGCAAATGGCACAGACTTTAGAGCTGTGGTTCTCAACGGGGTGCAATTTTGCCCCCCAGGGGATATGTGGCAATGTCTGGAGATGTTTTTAGTTGTCACAACCATGGGGTGGTGTAGTCCTACTGGCACCTAGAGGCCAAGGATGTTGCTTAACACATCCTACAATGTACAGAACAGTCCCACGACAAAGAATGATCTGGCCCAAAATGTCAATAGTGCCGAGGCTGACAAACCCAGCTCTAGAGCCAGACTTCCTAGGTTCAAATCCCATCCCTGATAACCATTAGCTGTATGACCTTGAATGAAATACTTAACTTTTTTGTGCTTCAGTTTCTTCATCTGGAAAACTGGGATAATAGGAGTACCTATCTCACAGGGCTCTTGTAAGGATGGAATGAGTAAGCACTAAAACAGCACCTGGCACATGGTGTTGTATAAATCTCAGCACTTATTACAACTACAGATGAGACTGGGAGAACTTCCTAGAAGATTCCAAATAACAAATGTTTCTCATAAAGATTGCAGCAAAGACTGAGAGTTGCCTAAATATATATACAGACATTCAATTCTTATTGAAAAGATATATATATATATTTCCCCCCTCCCTTTGTTTCTTAGTGATGGAACCCTAATTTTTGTCAGGACTCCTGGGAAGTTGTCTAAAAGAGAGCAAACTCAGCTGAGAGGTTTGCCTTTTTTGGCATCTCCTCTTTTAGCTGCAATGCCCACGATAGCTGGAGATTGCCCAGCCACCTTGGACCATGAAGTGGCCTTGAGCATGACAGCCAGTGCTAGGATGGTGAAGCAGAAGACAGAAAGAGCCCGGGTATGTGATAATAGTGGAGCTGCCACACTAGCCTGGGACTCTCTCCCAGACTTCTTGTGCAGGAGAAAGAAGACTCTATCTTGTTTAAGCCACTTGTCACTTGGGGTTTTCTTACTGGAATGTAATCCTGAGTGACTACTATACTCCAGGTAAAGCACCTGAAGAAAACAGACTGCCCCCACAGATACTTAAACATTTCCTAACTTAGAACTAATTTGGGCTTAAGTGCTAAAACAGAAGTAGATGGTCCAATGACCACAAAAATGAGCCACATACACATTGCTCTTAGTCTCTGGCATAGAGCTTTCTCATTACATGATACATCCATTGCATGATAACACTCAGCTTTCTCATTACATGACCTAGGACACTGGAGAAAAAATCAGTGAGATCACCCTCTACTGCCAAGAAAACTCTGGAGGGACATCTGCTCCCAAGGCTGCATGAATTTGTGCCAACAAAAGATACAGGCTCTCACAGAGGTTAAGCTGCAGTCTTTGCACTGGGCTAGAGGCACTGGCTTCAGCTCCAAACTCAGCATTCCTCCAAGAATCCGCCTCCCTTATCAATCCACACCCTCCAAATGCTCCCAGTTTTGGTTCCACTGTATCCTAACCTCACGGTCTGCAGGGCAAACTCCTCCTGTGGATGTGCCTGTTTAATCTCAGGAGGTGGCCTTCCTCTATGTATTGTGATGCAGACTCATAATATTTGAGGACTCCCCAAATTTTAACCTGCCCATTAATTCCCCAGATATTGTACAAATGTAAATTCTGATTCGGGAGATCTGGGGTGAGGGGCCTGAGATTCTGCCTTTCTAACAAGCCCCCTGATGAGGCTGAAGCTGCTCATCTGTGGACCATACATTCAGTTTGCATGGCTGTCGATTCTCAATTTCTAAAGACTTTTTTGGTTGGTGCTTCCCTCTTTCCCAACCAACCTGATGCTCCCAAGTTTACCTACTCTCCCTCATCAACTCCCCTAACATACTCCTCTGCCGTACTCTATGAATGGAGGCAAAGTTAAGCACCGGACTGGTCCTGCAAGGATCTTCTGTATCTGTTCTGAATATGGAAAGCTGGAAGACAGCTCAGCTCACCTGGGACCGCACAGTCTGGAGCATGGCTGATGACCCCTGGCTTCATGTACACTGCCCCCTCTGTTGGGAAAAGCAAGAACCTGCAGAACTAAGAGGAGAGAGAACCACAATGAGACTGACCCTGTCTTGTTTCCCACACTTGCCACCTCTTCCTCCCTCGGTCTCCTTGCCACTCTCATTGGAAACACATATGCTTAGGACACTGGATGCTCTCAATGCACCTTCTCCAGTGCTGCAACTGCTCTCTCTGTACAGTCTACAGATCTGCCTGGTGAAGCTGTAAATTCCTAGAAAGAATATCTGTGAAGCAAGAGTCAAGAACTGCAGTGGATTCGCAGCTTTTAAGAAAATCCCTGGCTCACTATAAATGCATAACTAAGTAGTTGGCACTGAATGCTTCCAGTGATCATGGCAAAGACAGAAAACGAGCTTCAGGAGAGAAAGTAGGGTAACGGGGCCCCTGGACCGACCACAGGTCGCAGGGCAAAATGATCTGGCCCCAGGGGGAAAGGGTAAGACGCTCAGCGTCCTAGTGGGCGATGCTGACCGGAGACCTGACCGGGACCTGAACATTCCACCCCGGGAAGCAGACGACCCCAAACGTCACCGGCCCGTACCCTGAGTACCGGGAGCCAGAGGATGTCAGGCCAGCTCTCCGGGACAGGAAGGACGATCGTGCCTCTGCCGGCAGCGGGGTGGGCCCCGGCTCGGGGCAGCCGCGCGGGCCTCTCGGGAGGCGTCTGAGAGACCCCGACGCCAGAGCTTCAGGACAGGGAGGACTAGGCCACCCCCGGGGAGCGGGGTCGCCGAACCCCCGGCAGCTCACCCGGGGCGCCCGCAGCCCTGCCAAACGTAGCTAGGCGGAAGCCCGAGCGGCCGACGCTCCTAGCGCCTCTCTAGGAAGCCGGGAGGCTGGCCCTTCTCCATGGTTCCCCCCAAGCTAGATCCCCCACCACTGCTCCGGCGGCGGCTCTTCTCAGCATTTCTTCCATGGCTCATCACCCCACGTGGACGATCAGTTCTTCAAGGACGGAGATTCACTTTATACTTCTTGTGATGCTTTGAATTCTGGCTTTAACGCTTACTAGCAGTAACCTGACCTGCTAATGAATTTATAGCCCGTCTTGCGTTTAATGGCTTATTTTCTGGACTGTGACCTAAGATCATGAAATTTGGGGTCTGACTGGGTTCAAAGCCTGGCTCCACCACTTATTCACAGTACTGTGGCCTTGCACAAGTTACTTAAACTCTGTGCCTCCGTTTCCCAATTGAGAATGGTAATAGTTTCATACTCACAAAATTTCAGTGGATTAACTGAGTCAATTCATGCAAAGCACTTATTACAACTTCTGGTTCTGTACCATAAATAATTCAAAATAAGTGCTAGCTCGGTCGTTGCTGACATTATTATTATTCCTGTGTATCATCGCCACTCTCCTATAACACACTCCCATATCTCTTTCTCCAGTCCAGATGTAATACTCATGGCAATAGTCCCTGCTATCGGCGACGCATTGTTCAGATAGCTTTGAGCTAGAGACCTGTGTGTCAACCTGCCTGTTTATTTCTACTTGGCTATCCCACAAGTGCCTAAAAGGCAAAATGTTCCAGACTAATCTCATCATCCTCCCCTCATGATCCTGTTCCTCCTCTAGGGTTCCCCATCTCCGTTGGAACACCACTCTCCATGCAGCCAACTGTCATTCACCTGGGAGTCATCGCTGATTCCTTCCTCCAAATCTCTTCTCACCTGGATTACTGCTGCAGCCTAACTGTTCTCCTGGTCTCTTCTGGCCCCCTCCAATCCTTTCTACACTGCAGTCAAGTGATCTAAGATATGAATCTGGTCACAACAGTTCTAGATGCTCCCTGAAAACCAAACTATCCAACTTTCTAATTTTGCCTATAGGGCCAATTTAGCTCAACACAATTCAACTCAGATTACTGAGTACTAATGTGTGAAAGGACCTGTTATGTATTGGGCATAACAGACCTTGTCCTCACTTTGTCATTTCATCCTTGCCACAATTTTGTATAAGGCAGGTATCACGGCCCGTTTTTTAAGATGAGGTTTATGTGAAGTACAAGAATGCACTCAGGCTGAATGACAGGATTTAAACCTGGGGCTGCCTCTACAGTCAGTCTTCTTCCCCTACGCCATCTCCCTAATGAGAGTAACTGGACAAGTGTGCAGTTCTCTATAATCAGAGTGGACTATTATGTGCCTGCATATTTTAATAATCTCCTGATCTCCTCTTGCACCCCCAACCCAATCCAGTCTATGCTGCCAGATTGATTTTCTTGAAGATTACTCCCTAGCTCAAAATCTTTATTGTCTGGCCCCATCCTACTTATTCTCCTTCCTACTGCTTTTCAGGGGCCTTATACCTCAGTCACTGTCTTGCAGGTCCCTTAGATTGGAATTCCCAATTCTCGCTGTTTCATATTGCACTATTTTCTAGGTGCAGCTTGAATGCTGCTTCCACCCTGAAGCTTTCTCATCCTCTCAGCCTTAAATTCTCTTCTGAGCACAACCTCATGGACTGGAGCTAAAGGGCCTTCCAAGTCAATGGCAATCTGACAGAAGCACTCTCCACTTTCCTCAACAAGTGATTTTGAACCAACATTCTCTGCAAATCTACATTTCCTCACTCCTCCCTTTCTCAGTGTGACCTTGCCTTCTAACTCCAGGAAAATTCAGCGATCAGTGAGACATCCTCAATTTCCTGAGAGCAAACCTACACACTTAGCATCTAAACTCACTTTTTCTTCCTTTTCAGGCAAAGGACATCGCTCCTGTAAAGCTAATCAATCCCTCCTCTTCTCGAGGCTCCATTCTGTCTTGTTTTCTCAAGAACCAGCCCCTGTCCTCCAATTAGCTGCTTTTCCAGAAGCATTCAGACTTGCTCAAGTCACTCCAACTTTACAAAATCACAACCTTCAAACTCCATATAACAGTTCTCCTTAACTTACTGCCCTCTTCCCCTCACTTTGACAATCTCAACCAAAATTCTTTCTGTGGCTTCCTTGTCTCCCTCCTTGTTTCCCACTCCTCTGCAATCTTTCTCTAATCGATTTTTGTCCACTTTAACCCTGGGCAATCTTAGAATGACCATTACCTACCACGAACCCTTAATCTGTCCTTGAGACTTCTCCTTGTGTCATAACTATCACAGGTATTACCATGAGCCAATCACTGGGCTGTACCATTGTGATTTCCCTACTCCATGAAGCATACCTATGTAGAAGAGGAAAAGTGGGCTTTCAGGGTAAGGGACATGCCTAAATCACAACAGTTTTTTAAGTGGCAGAGCCAGGATATGAATACAAGTTGTCTACACCCTCGCATATTTGTCCAGACAGTCTGTATCATGTCTTAAAATCATTTCCCCTTTTCTCCTACAGCCAGAGCCAGAAATACAAGCCAGAAACTCTTACCACATTTGGTTTCCTTACTTTCCTTCCAGCCCAAACCATCATCAAGGCCTAAGTTCTGGCATCACCACTACTACTTGGTCAGTTTGGACCCTGGTCAATGTGAGTACTGCCAAGCTTCATACCACCATTTCTGACCTTCCCAATCTTGATCTCTTAAAATTTAGTCCAACAGCACAATGATCTACACCTGAGGTATCTCTCCACTTAAAAATACTCAATGGCTTCCTGCAGTAACCCACGGATCTAACTACCCCGCTTCCTTGTTCTGTGGTCTCTCTAACCAGTCCTCTACATTCCTGACATTCACGCTACCCTTCCTCTCACACCATCTTTCTTTCAAGTTGTAGTTGAAGATCCCAATTTCTCTAGACAACTCCTACCCTTCAGGATAGGACAGGTAACCCAAAATTAACAGTAATCCGTCACAGAAGCTATTACACTTTACCATGCGCCTATTAATACCCCCAAGCAAAAATGAGTTTTGCCCCATTATTCCAGTGAGGCTCAGAAGCCAGCTTTTGGTTAGACATGATAGGTAACCAGAAACTCTAACAGACCATAATGTATTTTGTTTACTTGTCTTGTTTTCCTACAGTGTATTTTTATAAGAAAATTTACTAAACGTCCAAGCATCAAAAGCTGCTGGGATTTTACATATTCATGGGAAATGTATTTGTACAAGGAAAAAAACAAATCACCTAGTGTTCTAATTATCACTACTTCCCATGAAAACATTAACAAGTTACGACTTTGTGTGATGACTTTATATAGCTATCCAAGTCTGGGGAGAGTGGGACTAAGGAACTGATTCTCTAAAGACGACATTAACAATCCTACTATCAATCTGTTTCACAATCCCAGCCCTAGCAAGACTTTAATCCATAGATTAGATTTGCCAGCATGTCAAAAAGAACCTTTATTATTTTTCTAACAGCCCCTTATGCTTTCTTGCCAGATGCCTTTGGAGCAGGTGCTTTCTGGGCTGGAGCTTTCTGACCCTTCTGAGCTTTCGGAGGTGCTGCCTTCTGGCCTGCAGCTTTCTGGGCAGGAACCTTCTGGGCTGGAGCCTTCTTGCCCGCAGTGGTCGTCTTTTTTGCTGGAACCTTTGCAGCAGCTGCTCCAGCTGCACCCTTAGCAGCAGGCGCCTTTTTGGGAGAAGCTTTCAGGAGAGCTGCCTTTTGAAGCTTCCTAACTTCAAGCTTGATTATTCTGTTCCTCTGAAAAATTTCAATAGAAGTATTTATCATATATGCATACAAAAAACTATTTTATCAATCCTATTAGTATATACACATATACAAGACAACCCTTAGATCTAAGACTTCTATGAAGTCAACTCTGGTCTACCAAGCTTGAATAAGCAGAATTACCAATCAAGTTTAGGGTCAGAATACAACAATCCTGTAATAATTTTAAAAACTTACCATTTTCTTTGCCTTCATGACTTTATAACGATCAAAATCTGTCATCTTGGCTTTCTGTGAAAAAACAAAAACAAAAGATATTACCCCTCTCATACCAACCCTCCAAAAAAATGTCAGAATTCAAATGACTCTAAGTCATTACCCTTTCTCTGGCTTCAATCTTCTTGGCCCATCTTGTGGCTGCCCATTTTGTATTGATATCTGCCTTCTCCCAGGCTTTTCGAACATACTTCTGGCGAGCACTAGAAAAGAGGCAAGACCACAGATTAAGAAATTAGCTTTGAAGCCACACCGATCCAAGGACAGGTTTGCATTCTCTAAAAAGCACAATTTATACCCCCTCAAGTTAAAAAGTATAAGCAAAATTATGCCCAAAGTACCTTTCCCTTTTTTATACTTTCCAGCTCTAGCTGTCTCCATTGAACACAGCACCTGGCACACTATGTCTTTGACTTAATACCACTCCCGGGTAGTGGAGGTGTAGAAAGTAATTTCTTTTCATAAAGAACAAGGTAAAGTTAATTCTGAGGCCTAATGTTTTCTTCAGTATAATGCTGAAAAATTTGTGGTCAATCATCATAAAATCCACTTATAATCATTTTGACTTTCAAATATTTCAAGTAGCAAAACCCAGTATGCTTTAAAAATAAACTAACAGTACGTGTTACAGCACATGTTCCACTGCAACCAACTATCACTATAGCTGAGGTAACTGTATAGCAACAGACAATAGTGTTTTATCTTCCATAATCCACAACATGCCAAGAACACTCAATACTGACTGCCTCAATTCCTTATAAGTAGCTGGGAATAGAACCTGCTTAGTGGCTGCCATAATGAGATGATGTATGTTACATACTTAATAAGTGACACATACTAAAAGCTGAACTAATGACAGCTAGTTTTAGAAAAGAATCACTATCTTTTTTTGAAGCAAGTGTCTAAAATATGTTCCTGGAAAACAGATTTCTTTAGGGAGGTCTTCGCTGTATAAATCCTGAAAGGAAGGGGTACAAGAAAGAGGATAGGAAATCTGGATAAAGGGAAAGCAAGAGAACTACCAGATCACAAGACATTTAAAAAAGTAAATAATGCCTGTCTACATCTACACTGTAAATCCCTCTTTTAAATTGCTTTTGCTCTTCAGAATTGCTTACTATATTCTCAAGCGAAAAACAAAATAGCAAAAACATTTTTTGAATTAACCTAAGCAAACTTTTACCAGTATAAACAAAGCTAGGGGAGGGGTGATGGTTGGTAGATAAGTTACCTGTGTGGGAACTTGAGGATGAAGTCAGTGAGCTGCATGCATTTGAAAGGCATAGCTTGTCTCCTTACCTGAGTGCAAGGTCCATCAACCAAAGCCTAGAATACATAAGACCAAGGATCTCAGGGCAAAATATAACAGCAATCAAAATGAATAGATATTCTATATACGTGTCCTTTCAGAATCATCAAATCCCTATTTAAATGCTTTTTAAAAAGATCAAACTATTACCCTTAATACACCGTATTGAAGCAACTACATACAATCTACTTGACAATTTTAAGTCTTTAATCTTTACATTTCCAACAACCAACTTCATGTTCCTCCACAGCCTTTAGTCAATCCTCTAGTTTGTGGTTTTCAAATACTGACAATAGCAAGCAAAGGCTTTCTATGTGCATGGCATTGTTCTAAACTCCCTTTACATATAGTAACTCATTTAAACCTCACCAACGTCTCAATTGGTGGAAAGCTCTGGCCAGTTTAAGTGGCAGGGGTAATACTCAAACCCAGTAGTGTAGGCCAACTAAAGTCTGTGTTGGAAACCACTACTTTGCACTGCCTGCTTCCTCAATGGTGAAATAAAGCTAACACCCATAGTACTCCTACCTTACAAGACCATTGGAATAAGTACTATTATCATCTATACTGCATACCATTCACCGCCATGTGAAGCAAACTTGTGACATTTTTCCTTACACGTACCCTGTTCTGATCAATAACATCTACAATCGCGACCAGCTTCCCGGCATGAGGCCCAAAGGAGACATAGGCCACCCGGCCAACCTCCACGAAGCGCCTGAACACCTAAAATGGGGGGCGGAGAAGAATAGCAAGACTGGTTAAAAATACTCGCTAGTTTATAAGCTTTGCAGCTTAAAGGCAACGTGGCTAAGTACCACGGAAAAGAACGTCGAACGGAACACGCCCAAGTGTCATGGCGCGACCCGGATGGACAAAATTCGCACAGCCGGCAGCGGCAAAAGCTGAGTTCCCTCCTGCCTCCAGGCCTATGGGGCCTGCACGCCCTCGCTCACCAGCCCCGGCCCGGCTCGGCCTCGACTGCCCGGCCAGGTCACCGCCCGCCCCAGCCGCCCGGATCCGGCGGCGACGGCGCGCACGCGTGGCCCAAGGCGCGCCGGTCCGGCCGGGCCCTCCACGCGCTCGTCGGCCGCGCGTCCGGGAAGTTCCCAAACTCCCTGCGCCGCCCGCCCGGGGCTCCTCACCATGCGCTAACTAAGACCCGCTAGGCGCCGTTCCGCGCCTCCGCTACCCTACCCAGGCAGAGGCGGAGCTGCATGGCCTCCAGACCCGGAGCCCGAAACAGCCACACTCACCATGCTGGCGGCGTTCGGCGAGAAGAAAGAAGGCCCGCCCCACCGTGCGCATGTGTAGAAGGTCGCCCCGCCCCTGTGGTGAACGAGACGCCGACGTGCGCATCGATTGGTTGGGGTTGGAGCGTGCGTGCGTATGCGCACGCATGCGCACTGGAAAAACACGGCGGAGCCGGCCAGACCGTGCTTGCTTTTTCGCGGACGGGAGCCGAGAGAGTGGCTGCGGTGATGCTGCGGTCGAGGCGCAGGGAGGTCATCTCTTAGGACTTTAGGGTGAAGAAAAGAACAGAAGCTATGACTTGTATTGTAATTCTGTCAGCATTCCATTTGACTTCCTTTTTTAACATTCTTCCATCTTTCCTTCCACTGCTCCGTCAGTACTCTCGCTATTTTTTGTCTAAATGTTGTTACCCATAGCTTAGTATTAGATTTTTTCCTCTCCCTAAGTGACCCCAGTAGTTTTGTTAACCTTTCATTTTAAATTCATACTCATAGAAAAATTGTAAAACTAGTACGAATAATTCCTATAAACTCTTCCTTAGATAGCCCAAATGTTAACATTTTATGTTTGCTTTATCGTTCTATCATTTTTTTCCGAATCCTTTGAGAGGAAATTGCAGACATGATGTTTCTTTATCTCTACACAGATAAATGTATTTCCTAAAAACAAGAACATTATCTTACATAATCTTTGACAAAGATCAAAATCAGGAAATCAATACCGATATAGTCCCTTATTTAATTTGCAGTCCTTATTCAAATATTATCAGTTGTCCCACTTATGTCCTTCAGAGCAAATGAAAAAAAATTGTCTCCCTGGTCCATGATCTAACGGAGGATTCCAACTTGCATTTAATGTCCAATTTTTTAAAATTTGTAGTAGTTCCTAAGCCTTTCCTTGTCTTTCATAATGCTGACATTTTAAAATACAGGCTAGTTGTTTTGTAGAGTGTCTCTCAATATGGGTTTATTGTAGTTTTCCTCATGATTAGATTCAGATTATGCTTTTTTTTTTGTAGAAATGCGGTCCCCTTGATGCACCACATCAGAACACATGCAGGATATCTCTGTTACCTTGCATCCGTGGTGATAATTGTGCTGACAATTCCCAGATGTGTTTCAGTCTTTTCCTTTAAGCTCTATGCCAGCATATCTTCCCAGGGCTGTTCTGGTAGCCTCCTAAGTGACATGCTTTCTCCATTGCTCCCTTTATTCTCTGCTCATCAGTCATAGGGATCTTTTAAAAAAATTAATCAGATGCCATCATTTCCTGTTTAAAACACTTCAATGGCTTTTTACAGTATTTAGAATAAAATCTCAACTCCTTACTCAGGACTACAAGGCCCTGCATCCTATGCTCCTATGACCAAACACACTTTATGCTATCCCCCGTCCCCTTCATTGTGCTTCAGCCACACGGTCTTGAACAGGGCAAGCTCTCTCCTGCTCTGTGACTTTTTTACCTGGTGTCTCCCCTTCAGGAATGCTCTTCCCTCTATTTGTACTCATCTCCTGGCAGTGCCAACTCATCTCTTGTATTTTTCTCTAGAAAGCTCTTCTGAGAGACTTAGCCTGACTACCACATAAAAGAAATAGGTCAGTCCCCTTCCCCCTTTTCTAGCTCAGCTTTTTGTTTCCCTCAGAGCTATTATCATAATTGCAATTGTTAGTCTTATTTTTCTGTTCACTTTGGTTGTGGTTTTGTGCCAGATGGAATAAGTTCCATGAGGGCAGGACCTTGGCCATCTTCTTTTCTTAGCACAATGCCTGATAAGGGGCTCAGTAAGTGGATATGAATGAATTAGTCTTCAGGCCTTGAGATCTTGCTTTATAACTTACAAAGCAAAAGACATAAAGACATTCATAACAACACTTTTGTGGTAGTAGCCCCAAACTGGAAACTACCCAAAGGCCCATAAACAAGAGAATGGATAAACTGAAGAAGTCTGCAGCAATGGAGACAACAGCAACTACACAGAACAACATGGATGAACTTACACATGACAGTGAAATAAGTCAGACACAACGAGTATATGCTGTGATATCATTTATATAAAGTTCAAAACAGGCAACCGGGACAACCAACTAATCTATGGTTGTGAGAAGTAATGATCGTGGTTACCCTTGGCACAGGCAGCAGTGACTGGAGGGAAAGGGGCTTCTACATTGTTGGTGTTGTTTCTTCATCTGGATATTTACTACATGAGTGTGTTCAGCTTGTGAAAATTCAGAGCTCTAGCCTTATGATTTGTGCATTTCTTTTCCCCAAATATATGTTAACTTAAAATTTTAATGGAGTTTCCTAGCTCTACAAGCAGAGAATGTGATATGCAGGTCTGGAGAGCGGCCAGACTCTGCATTTAAAAACAAGCTCCCCAAGTGGTTTACTGAACATACTTTGGGAAACATTTTCAGATTCTCCACTCGGTAACAGAATTATTTTTCTAAAGTTATTTATCTGATTATGTCACCTCTGTTTAAAATCCTCCCAGTGTTCATTTTTATCCCCTATTCTACAGGATAAAGTCCAAATTCCCTAGCCTGGCATTCAAGGCCCTCCACCATCTTACCCCAGCACCTTCCTAGATTTTTTTCTCTGGGCATTCTGCGTCCCTCACCCCTAATCCCGCTATAGCTACAAGTCTCGTGGCTTTTCCTGCAGCTGGGCCCACTCTCCCTACAGTGTGCTCCCAACTTTTTCTCCCTGGAGAACGACAGCGCGTCCTTGAAGAAGCATTTCAAGATCCCCTCCCAAGCACCCCCAGACAGTTTTCAGATTTCTTCCAAGCCCTAAGTAAACCTGTCTACGTCGTGAGGTCGCAGGAGTGCAGGAATGAACACAGAATCATTATCAACTACAGGCTTCAGAAACCAGACGACCAGACCAAGCACACGCAGAGCTCTGGTGGGCGGGCTACGCCCTCCGGGACAACCAACTGGCTCGTCCAATCACCGGGAGGAAGGGCAACTCCTGGACGATGCCAGGATCCAAGATGGCGTGCATTCGGCGTCTCCCTGCGGAGCCACGCCCCTGCCGTACGCCCTCCCTGCTCGTCCAATCACCTAGAGGAAGGGCGAGCTGCAGTCCGCACCTGCAACAGACGTGGCGGCTAGAGGCGCTCACGTTTAGGAGATTCCGCTGGTCCTTCGTGCGAGACGCCCTGGAAGCTGTGTTCCCGTGAACCGCGCCTCACTGCTCTTGCGTGTGGCAAGAGACGGATGTGAGGCGCAGGACGTGCGCCCCGCTTTGGGTTCTTGCCGTGAGGCACCGAGCAGAGGGGTCGCACAGGTCCCGGGTCCTTGCCGGAGGTCTCAGGGAACGGCAGCAGCATGCCCGCTTCCCCGCAGTGTTTGCGGAGTCCCTGCGAGTGTCAGCGTGGTGTACAGTCCGCTTGTACTGCTGTCCACATGTAACCAGCTGGACCCCAGTATTCCTGTCAGCTTCAGCTGAGTAGATGTGTCTCTTTTTTTTCTCAGTCACGGGGGATGGAGGCATCAGTTTATCAGACAAAATGTCTGGGGCCCCGAAGAGAAAGAAAACTAAGCCTGTTCAAGAAGTGAACCAAAAGCTACCCAAAATCTGACTTCCTTTCTTGTTCCTGTAACCTTTCAGAGATGTGAACGGATCCCAGTTATGACCAAACTGGCATGGAAGTCCTATGATGCCTACCTGGCATGGTGGATAGGTGCATGTATCCTTAGGAGTGAAAAAGTGGGTGGTACACCTGTTTTAAAAATTTGCATCTTTGGAGACCTGAAGCTGAGCAAGACAGTGTCCAAGCCCAGTCAACCTAAGATCACCAGGAGTAAACCTGTAGTGCAACAAAATTAGGTGTATTGATTCATTGCTGTAAGGGAGACTGCACACCAGGAACCCATGGGAAGTTTAACCAAGCAAAGGAGAAGATCGAGTTACAGGATTGCGGAGTGGAATCTAAACAATTCCATTGTTTAGATGGAACCTAAATGAAACACTGTTTAGAAAGGCTCAAAGCCAAGCAGGACTGTGGAAAGGGGTCAACATCAGGCATAGACAGCAAAATGGACCCATGGTCCTGTTTCTTTGAAAATGTTGTCCAGAAACCGCTTTTCTGAAGCTTTGCACCTGGGTTGTAAATTGAAACTGCTTTTCTGTGTTAAAGTGAATTAGATCTTCCAGGCAAGAATGGGATGTTTCATTTTTACTGATAAAATCTCAAACACTCTGACTGCCCGGTGTTGTAGTGGTTAAGTTCACGTGCTCACCTTCGGGGGCCCAGGGTTCATGGGTTCGGATCCAGCGGGGCAAACCCACACACCGCTCATCAAGCCGTGCTATGGTGGCTTCCCACGTACAAAAGAGAGGAGGATTGGCACAGATGTTAGCTCAGTGACAATCTTCCTCAAGCAAAAAGAGGAAGATTGGCGACAGATTGGCTCAGGGACACTCTTCCTCACCAAAAAAAACAAGAAAAACAAAAAAACGGAAACACCAAAGTTTCTGAGAGTTTGATTTTAGAGAACAAAGTTTCTTGGTAAGAAAGCAGTAGTAACTCAAAGAATAGGGTTATTATGACACTTTACAAATGTTGCATGACGTTGGCAGAAATATTATTTCCTGTTAACTTTACAGCTATTTTTGTTTGTGTGTTTTTCCTGCCTGATGAATTGCCATGTAGATTTTACTTTCTTAGAGCTAATTTTAACTTAACAGGAAGGCTGATGGTATAGCAGGAAGGTATTCTGAGAGTTATATCAATGGGAAAGTTTTAGATCTTTTCTGTTACAAAGCAGGAGGTAAACTCACAAACCACAGGTGACAACATATCCTGAGATGAGAAAGATGTCCATAATGAGAAGGACATTGGCCTATTAAGTCACAGGAAGCTAAATGAGATGCAGATGAAAGTCATCTTAGCAATCCAGTGGTTGCTCACTTCCAATTTCTAGTTGCCAAAGTGGCTGATGGACTCTGGAATGGTCAACACTCTTGGAATACAGCACCCAGCTCCTTCGGTAGTACAAGTATTGGACAATACTCTAAATGCCAGAATGGGATTTTTGTGATCTGTCTTTTGTGTTTAACAACCAAGGAGG